TGGCAACTTAACGAATTCACTTTGACTTTGCATATGGATGCTAGGCTTGGGCCTGCCATTGGCAGGTAGCTATATATATATGTGTGTATATACCTGTTACCTATGACTGTGTGTGCGTGTGTGTGTGTGTGTGTACGTGCCAGTTCTGTTGGCCTCTGTTTGAGGGTAAATTGTTCGTTCGCTCGGTTTCATTTTTATTTCTTTACTCTATTTGTGTTGTTGTTGTTGTTGTTGTTTTCGCTTTCTACATTGTTCATGACGTTTCACATGCAAAACGCGTGTCACATTCGCATTTCCGCCCTGTCATGCTAGTTTAGTAGGGACCCAACACAAAAATACAGCTCCTACGCACACATGTGGCAACACTTACCCTCAACACACACACACTCGCGCACACAGCGCTTTTTGGCTTTCAGTAGCAGTTGCCGTTCTTTGGTTACTTTGACGTTCTCTCTGGATAAGTGGGCATGCGTGTGTGTGCGTGTGTGCGCGAGTGTGGGTTTAGTTGGGCTCCTTTTTGGAATGTGTAACTTGTTAAAAATCCATTAATCACGTAAGTGGCAACTCTGGCAACGACAAAGCCAGCATACAAATGCGTTCATGCGTGCAAAAACTCAGCCAGCAAAAAGCCGACAAGCTCTGACTGCTTCAGCTGCTGCCCAGCCCTTTCCATCTAACAAAACTTGCGCTTTTTACAACACTAATTTGTATGCGTGTGTGTCGCTGAGTGTGTGTGTGTGTATGTGTGTGTTTGCGTGCATGTATATTTGGCGCTCACTTAATTTTTGTGCCTGGCTTGCGTTTCTGTACTGTTTGCATTTTGCTAGCTCATTATGCTTCCAGGCTCAACCTTTAGCTGTAGCATTACTCATAATATTTGCCTCCCCCTCTCTCTCTCTCTCTCTCTCACTCCTTCTCTCATTTTCATATTTTGTTAGTTTTTTCACATTTCCGGCGAAAGAACTGGCCGGAAATTATGCATGTAATTAAATTTACAAAAAAGAACAGAAATGTTTTACTTGGACGTCATAAATTGTCTTTGCTCGAATTACCTTTTTTGTTGCTCTGGCAGAATTGCAAATAAAAGTAATTAAATTAATGGAAAAAAACGTATCATAGAAGTTTAGCATAAAACACATATTAGGCAGCATGGCAAAAATGTAGAATTTATTCGCATCTGACTCATGTGTGCTAGCTTAAAAAAGTTAATTAGAAACGAGAATTTCAATGTGAAATTTATGTATTTCATTTTTGCTTCCCAATTGAAATAAATGGTTGAGATAAATATGGGCATCTAATTGAATATACATATATGTATATACCTAATGTTTTTTAGAAATAGCTGTAAATTGAATGAATAGCAAAGTCATGGTTCTTTTAGATATTCTTCTGAATATCAAAAGTAAAGCCTGGAACCTCAATGAAAGAACTTTTCTGTCTTCATTAAAAATATATGAATATTATTTGCATACGTTTGGCAACTAGATTGTGGTATATACATATATTATTTTAGTTATATTTTCTGTATATGCATTATATTTGTACTTTATTAATATATAATATCATATACAAAAGAGTTAAGCTTAACATTTTTCAGTTAAGAGTACCAGACCTAAAATTTTAATAAAAAATCTGGCTTTACAGAAAAGATTAAAAGTTACTTTATTATATATTATATTACATACTGGAAGCTCATATAAAATAAATCGCTTTGAGGCACTACAACATAAAATCAGTGTTAGTTCAAGTTCAAGTATTCAACCTAAATACGACTAATATCTAATAATTTAATTGCCTCTATCCACATAGTCCAAATGAAAATCTATTTAAACGTTCAATTTCGAGGTAAAACCCCTAATAACCCATAAGCCTTGTCAATTTACAAAACGCTTTTAAGCGCGGTTCAATCAATAACGAACCCAACACGTTTCATTAATTGTGTCAAAGTATTTGGCCTTAATAATATGTAATATCCTTGGCAAAATATTGCACTAAGAGTTTCAACCACAAGCTGTGGCCATATGCAGCTCGGCTGCTGTAATTCCGTTTGGGCCAAGTTCACATAAAATATTTAATGAAACGATGGCACAAACCGCACTAATTGCAAAAACCAAACATTTTCCCACAGCGCCTTTGGAAATTCATTTTTTGGCAGTTTGTTGCGTGTGTGTGTGTACGTGTGTCTGTGTGTGTGTGTATGTCTAGCTATCTGTGCGTGTGGTTCCTAAAAGCCGCAACAAACACAAACCCACAGGGACACAGGAAATTAGAGCGAGAGAGAAAGAGAGAGAGAGAGAGTGCAGTGGAGCGTGTGGAAAAGAGAGCGAGAGAGCGGCAGAAAGTTAGAGCAAATGCGATAGCGTTAGCTGAATCGTACATAACCCGAGTGGACTGCCAACTCGTGTTAATATTAAATTACCAAAAACTCTTTGCAATTTTTGAAAGTTTTGCACTGTCTGGGCTGGCCGGGCAAGTGCGGTTGGCGGCGGGGTCGCAGCAGAGGGTGTCGACGTCTTGTCTTACAAGTTGCACGCATTCCTTTCGGCACAAATTCCTTGGCTCCTTTTGCCATAACACACACTCACACACACACACTCACACACACACACTCACACACACACAGAGCTCTCTACACACAAGTTTATTATGTCTGCTGGGGCTGGGCAGGCCAGGCGAGCGCCAGCAAGTATGCAACATTTTAATATGTGTGTCAGCTGGCGCCCATTTGCATTTGGCAGCGATAGCAGAGGGGGCGACGCCCCATCTATTGTCTCTGAGACGCACATCTAATAAACCTGGCAGAGCAACATTCGCAGTAAGCATCTTTGCGGTTTTTGCCACAACGTCAGAATTTACTGTGTACCGCCAGCAGCAGCACCACTCGCACCGCCACTCACCAGCACTCGCACCACCCGCTTCACATCGTTTGTATCTGGCTGCTTGTGGCGACGGACCCTTTACGTTCGCCACTCGAGCCTCAACTTGAGCAGCAGCTCGCCACGCCCCCTACCACACTGTCAACCCGTTCAGATCTGCGTGGCACCTGCTGCTGCAAAGTTTTGCGTTTGGGTTTTCCTTTCTTTTTGTCTTTGTTTTGCCTTGCTTCTCTTGGCCCTGGCAAAATCAAACTTAGCACGCACGTTAGCTGCTGCCAGCGACTATGTCTCAGGTCCAACTGGCTCGATGCCACTTTTACTTATAGAGCTACTTCAACTCCAACAGCCAGCCCAGCCCCGGCTCGCCCAGCCAGTCTGTCGTCTAGTGCTGTCCTTTGTGCCCTTGCGAACTTTTCATATAGTCAGCATTTTCTACTTAAATTAAATACAATGTGTGCGAAAAGTAAATTGAAGTTTGCTTTATGTGGATTTTGCACTCTGCGCTGCATTTACGGAGTTTCATTTAAAACATGTTAAACAAATGCTGAGAACGAGGCTTACATCAGCCCACAACGAAAAAGTTGACATTACAGAAAGTCTGCTAAAAGGGCTCGAGGCGGGGGGAGGGGTTAGGTAGAAGAAGGCAGGCAGGGAAGACAGCTTTTTGGGGGCAACTTGTTAAAGGCTTCAACTTTGAACTTTCAACTGTTGCCTGTCAAGTCTCGGCTGACTGCCTCGCACACTCTGCCCGCTCTGAGTAGAAACTTATATATATGTACATATATATCTATAGATATATTTCGAAGTGTTGCCGCTGGCAACGAGCGTCTAGGTAACAGCTAAAACACATTATGGAAAACTTTAAATTGTTAAAGTAATTGATTTTGAATGCCACACGCATAAGCACATAATAGCGTGAATACTTCTTGTATGTGTCGAGCATTTGGGGCACCGCAGCTCAACTGATGGGGATATAAGCAAAGCATCTTGCCTGCAGGTCATTAGCATATTTACTGGCAGCATGTTGATGTATTTGAAAATCTGTAGCTTGAACTAGAGACGAAAGTGCTGCATGAACATTTATTTGTGTGTTTCGCACTATGATTATGGCTCTACATTGCTTACTTTGGTTTGGGATGGCATAGAAATTAATGTTAACTCGGCATTTTGCTTGGCAAAGCGGATTGAAGGTCTAAATTTGTAAATTGTATATTTTTAGAATATTTAGTTGTGGCTCTAAAATCGAAAACTCTCATTGAAATTTGTTTAAATGTTCAAGTATTTGTTCATGAAAATGTTGAGAAGAAAGCATCCAAAAATTAGGGTAAAAGCCTGGGAAAAGTTTATTGGTGTTCCTTATATGTATATATTTATTTATAAATATTTTAAAATTTTTTAATGTAAATATTAATTTTTTATTTAAAAATAATAACAATAAAATTTTTATATTACAGAATAGGTATGGCTTGCATATTCAAATACGTTAGCCCAAATCTTACTTACGTATACGTAATATATACGTATACAATATAATGGTTTCCAATTTATTCCATACAATAACTACCCTCAACTTTTCAGTTCAGATGTCTGTAACCCATTTAATTTGCCACGGATTATTAATCAATTCCCATAGCACCCCTGAAATACTAACCGTAAATGCTCACACTCTCACTCTGACTCCGACAATGCAATTATAAAACTTTAATCAGCCGCTAAACCAATTTCGAAAGGCAACAAAAGCACGCCGCATAAAACTCATAAAGTGCACAGCCGCAGCAGGAGTACGCAGCACCGTTTGACTCCTGCTCGCTGAGCGCTTTTCAAATGAAAAATGGAGCAAAGCAGAAAGGAAAGTTTCCCTTGCTCTGCGCCACACCCCGAATGCAACAACAATGGTGGGAATTCAACACAAAGCTGAATTAAAAGTGAAAAAGTAGGCGGCCAGCTGCAAAGGCCTCTTGAGGCGGCTCATGCGATTGCGATTGGGGTTGAGTGGACTGGAGTGCCGCACCCTGGACGCGACCGGCACTACCCTCTGCAGGATTGGCGCTCGTTTGTGCAGCAGCAGCGCGTCTTGGATTTCCAGCTGGCGTGAAAATGGTAAATAATCTAAGAGAAACTCACCTGGCACCGATGAGCAGGCTGTTGCCGTCCTTGGTGACGAGCTTGAAGTGATCCACGACGCTCTCGTTGCCCAGAAATTTCAGTATATCTTCGGGACCTGCAAAATAGTTGACAAGAAGAGAAAAATATTAATATTTGCACTTGGCTTAAGTTGGTCAAAGCACGAGACGGACAGGGAGAGAGGTGGGTCGGTGGGTCTGGCTGCAAATGCCTAATTAGGCAATTAGGCGTCGTTAAAGTCGACAAAAAAAAAAACCAGGCTAAGGGTTGGCCAGGGCTGAAACTAAAGCGAAATGCTAAAGAGCTGAAAATGGCGTCGCCAAGGCACGGAAAAACAATGCAGCTGCCCAGAGCAGGGGACGGGGGCCTGAAGGTCTATAGTCGTATTTTTAGTTGTAGTGGTGGTTCGCCTGTTCTTTAGCTGATATGCAAATGGCGCCCAAGCAGGGACCCGGAGCTACAAAAGGCAGCCAATGCGGGCACAAAGGATTGCCCGTTTAGCAGCAAAAACAGGACAACAACAGCAGCAAAGTTTTTTGTCATTTGTTTACTTAGCTGTTCGCATTCAAGTTGGTCCTCGCCGCGTCGTCTGGGAGAACGAGTACCAGCGACCACTGATAGTTGTCAGCTGCCACAAACTGAGCTACTGCCGGCTGATAAACTAGCTAGGAGCCATCAGGTACTTAAATCTCCCAGGGACTAGTACTCGGTAATTACGATGGCGAGGTGTAATGTTATGGCTCCGCTGCACTTGGAGTTGCAGTTGCAGTTGCTAATGGCAATGAGACTGAGCCAAACTTAACGGCAAAGGTGTCGCGACTATATCTTCCAAGCTAAACTTTAATTCTTAGCTGTCACACAAATCTCTCGAGCGCTGAGTAAACAATTCACAGAATGTGTCAAGTGCTTGGGTTGGTAAGAAAATCTTAGTAGAATGTAGAATGGATATTTATCTATTTGTTATAGTTTTAAAGCTGTATTCATATGCTCAAATCGCATATATATACCTGTTAGGGGGCGTGGCAAATAGAAAAATTAACTATATCTTGAACAGAACAAAATTCAGCTGTTTGTGAGCTGCGAATGAGTATTAAGCAGTCGATACCAACCAACTGATTGTTATTGCAGTTCTTGAATTGTGGAACTAAGTTTTCCATGAAATCTTAAGCCAATTTAAAATAATATATATATAACAAATTCTCTAGTGAGCTGCTTGAATTTTCCTTGAATTTTTATTTTCTTCCGCTTGATTTTGTGACAGCAATAAATAGCTGCAAGTTTTATGTTATTCATGGTTAAGAAGCATTTCCCAGTATGAGAGCACAACTTGAAATGAGGTTTACTTAAGCTCCTCTTTGTCACTAATAGAGATCCAACAAAGATTTCTTTGCCTTTCATTTGCTTTTTGCTCATTACGTGAAATGCCCTTGGCAGCTTCGTTTGTGCGGCAGTTTGAATTAAATTCTTTTGCACTCGATAAACATGACTCCATTTCAGTGGGCTGCCCACTGAATATATACATGTACTATATTCCTCCATAATGGCCACGCCCTCGCTAGCGCGCTCGCTGGCGCATCATTACGGATAACGTAACACGCCTTTTGTCAGTCGCTTCGTTTGATCAATGATGTCAGGGTGAACTTTTTGCAGCCGGCTTTTAACTTTGACTGCAAGCGGTCAACCACAAAGAGCGAACAACTTTTCAGCGTCTTTTTTTCTCCCAGTGTCCTTTTTTATGTATTTCTGATTCCTGGCTGCGCATTCTGCGGGCTGCAGCAGCAGCAACAGCAGCTGTAGCAGACATACGGGAAGCAGTTGGCCAACTGGTTGCAACCTGGTTATTGAAAGCGCATTTGGATGCGCGTTTCACACTTTGCACTTTGCCGTACTCGCTAGCCAAACGACTAACAAAAAAACAAAAAACAAAAAAAAAAAAAAACAGCCAAAAATTAATGGGCGTAAAAAAGCTTTTTGTGCACGAGCTTTTCATATGGGACAGGCCTTTTGTTTGCTTGACATTTAACGTGACACGTGGGACATGTGCGCGTCTGACTGCATGATAAGGGGCAGAGTGAGCCCGACTTTTTTTTAAGGGCAGAGGGGGGCTAGAGTTTGGAGTGTTGGGGTTGACGCGTAACTACGAGAAAAGTTTCAACGCACGCACACACTCGCGGCTCGGCATATGCGACATTTTTAATTTGGCGCTTTAATTAAAAGCAACAAAGCTTTGAAACAAAAAACGACGTAACGATGTGAAAGAGTTTGAAGAGTTTTCCTAAAAAAAAAAAAAATAAAAATAAAATTTATTCACATCTGCAATGGTAATGAAATATGCAGATCTGTCAGCAAAGTTGAACAGTTGGAGCAAAGAATATCTATGATTTGTAATGGGAGTGAGTGAAAAAGAGAGGGGGAGAGAGAGAGAGAGAGAGAGAGAGAGAGAGAGAGAGAGAGAGAGAGAGAGAGAGTAAGTGAGAGTGATACATAGATAGAGCGGGAGAGAGATAGTCAAGAGATGGATAAGTTGATGGATTAAGATATAGATAGATAGAGGAGTGGAGAGAGAGAGAGAGAGATAGATAGAGGGATGGGGAGAGACAGAGAGAGATAGATAGGGGAATATAGATGTGAAAAGAAGAGGGAGAAAGAGAGAGAGATACATTGGCATATAGCTAAAGAGAGAAAGAGAGAGAGAGAGAGAGAAGGAGTGAGAGAAAGAGATAAATTGATGGGAGAACATGAGAGTTAGAGATATACATATACATATACAACTCTAGTTGTTATATACAAGTCTTACAAAGATTTCGTAATGTCTCATCTAATATCTATAAGCTCTCGTCAAACTGCTCTCTTCAAAACTTTGCTCCCTCGACACAATCAATGTATTATTCCCTTTCATTCTGTTAATTGTTAAATCTTTCATGCTTTACAGACTTTCCCGTTCTCAATTCTCTGCAAACTTTCTGATTGTAAACCCTGAAGCGTTCCAAATACACACACACACACGAATGTTATTTTACATATAGAGTCGCCATCGCACATAAGTTATGTTTAATGCCACCGCGGGCCTTTTCGTCGACCCAGCTAACTATGTAAGCCCCCAAATTGTAAGCTAATATTTGTTTTACCTACATACACAACACGGCACACCCACATCCACACATTCACACACACGCACACACACACACACACACACATTTCGGCCAGCAAACAGCCAAAAATCTAATATTTACCTTGACTTTCAAAATGTATGCAACGCCAAAGTAAACTGCAGCTCAACACGTGCCCAAACCCCAAACTCAGTGCCAGTGCCCAGAGCCTGTGGCCCCAGTTCACAGCCGCCCTGGCTCCTGCTCGGCATTCAGTTGTATTTGAACAAAGACGCAGCAGACCGAACCGAATCCGCCAGACGATTCAGCAAGCAGCGAAGCGAAAGCCAACAGAAAAAAATAATAATAAAAAAATATATATGTATATAAAAAAATGGTATATGTATAGAGTGAACGAAGGCAAGGACCTGACAGAGTCTATCACTTTAATCAACTGGCTGACAGTCGGGCCTGCCGCTCCAAATTATGCAAATTCAACGAAAATAAACGTGAATTCTGGCATTCGGAATCTACAAATGCCGGACAGCCCAGCCGCAGCTCTAGGACCCTCTCTCTCTCTCTCTATGTGTGTGTGTGTGCGTGTGTGTTGACTGCGCTGTGAGGATTTTACATTGCGGCAACAATGGCGACAACGTGTCCATGTTTGACTTTCTCATGCCAGTGGAAAGCGGAGAGCCAAATCGTGGCAACGCAAAGATCGCACGCCTTATGATGTATGAAAGAATCGAGCATTGAATGGGTTTGGCCTTTCAAACGGATGTAGAGCAGAGCACACGCACTCCTACTAGGAGCACAGAGATTTTATACAAATTACTCAGTGCTAGATAAGCTGATTATTAAAAATTTCGTAATGAATTTTTTATTTTTATGGCGGGCGTGCGTTGGGCCGCAACCGCAACATTCACGAGCGGAAAAGGAAATATTTACTCAAGTGCAGCGTCCGGACAGTGCACCGACTGCGTATCATAAATATGCGCATTCAGGTGGGTCCCGGGACGTCGGCCACATCTTGATGCGAGCGAGTTGACCAAGTCGTGGAAGCTGCAAAAAGACAGTGGAGTATTAAAAATGCAAATACTTTATAAGTGCAGGCAAAACGTTGCACTCCAGCTAGAGTCCCGCCCAAAAAAGAGAAGAGGAAGAAGAGGAGGCAACTGCAACAAAATACTAAATAATGAAAATTACCTTAATGGACGCAACTGCAACTTGCCAGTAAACTACAAAAAGTTAACAGAGAAGTTGAGCAGATAAGTTAGAGAGAACTGCGACCAAAGCGAGCTAATTGAATGGTTCTATTTAGAATTCGACGGAAATTTTCGTGTTGCCATTAAAGAACTGTTGTGTGAATATTTAAAAATTGATACAATTATATATTTATGATCAAGAAAAGAAAAAAAGAATTTCAGAGCCGCATTGGCCGAGCATTGATAACAATTTCGCAATAAATAAACTATAAATTATTTGTTGAAATTATACACGCAGCAGCAGCAGCAGCAGCGGTGAGCGATGCCATGGTAAGTATTCATTTATTATAAGCGGCTTTCGAAATGCGATATGGCTCGTTTTTGGCTGCTGGCCATGAGAAATCAACGGCATACACAATGGCGGCGGCGTCACATAAAAATTATATAGTCGAAACCGAGAACGAGAAAAAAATGACGATGGCAATGGCAATGGCAGTGGCAGTGGCACTGGCTGAGGCTGTGACTGGGGTTCAGCTGGGGCAGAGCTTCTGCCGGAAAACAAAATGCGGCGATGCGTGAAAAACATTCCACGATTTCTGCAGCGCGCCATGCACGGAGCCAACCAGACCAACTTCCTGTCCATGTTCCGTGGCTGCTGCTGCTCTATCCCTTGGTCAGGCGGCGTTCAATGGGAAAAATCCCAGCCGAGATTTGCATTTAATTGAAATGAACGCCGACACACACACACACACACACATACAGAAGCACCAGCAAGAAATGCAGAGCACAAGCCAAACATCAGAAACAAAATGAAAAAAACA